CTCAAAGGCCTCCCACTGCTGCTTTCCAGGAAAATGGAGGGAGTATTTCAGGAAACTGAGGCACAGGACCCACCATACACAGAGAAAGAATCCAAGAGATTCAAGTGGAGAATTTGGGAAAGTTTATTCATGCTGGCAGACTCAAGCAGAATCTCCTAAAAAACTCAAGCCTCAGGGCTGTAGAGATGGTTCAGTGTTTACAAGCACTGGCTGCTCTTTCAGAGGACACAGGTTTAGTTCCCAGCACCTACCCATCAGCTAATAGCCATTTATAGCTCTAGATACAGGGGATCTGAAGCCCTGTTCTGGCCTCTGCAGGCATTGCAGGATATGAGTACACTTACATACATGCAGGCAAAACACATATACATAAAAATAAATAAACCAAAAAAACCCAAAACCAAAACCAAAACCAAAACACTCCTGAACTTTGAGTTTAGTTCCTTCACAGCTTTTTTTTTTTTTTTTTTTTGGTCTTTTTGAGACAAGGTCTCCCTGTAGTCCCAGCTGGCCTGGAACTCACTATGTAGACCAGGCTGGCCTTGAAGATGACATTAAATGCATGGGTCTATTTCTTTTCATCTTTAGGAACAGGACATAAATTAATGTCTACATGTACCCACAATCTCCATACAAATCTGCTTGTCTGCAACACCTCTTCCCACCACCCTGTAGTATAAAGCACCCAGTCAGAACATACCTAATTTCCTTTTGGGTAGATAAAGAACTAGAGTGTGGCAAGGGTATATAAGAGAATTCCCTGCTGTGTACAGGGCTCAGGCTTTGAGTAAGAACCTACTGAGACTGCCAGCATAAAATAAACTCTACTTCTGGCACAAAAAGACTAGGTGTCCCACCTCTCTATGTAAGTGTCCTACAACAATGGAAAAAAAGAAAGCACAAAATCAATGAATTGAGTTCTTTCAATTAACAAGAAATACACAAAGGAGTAAATGAAAGAAGGTGGAAATTAGATATTAAAGAAATGAAAAAGATCATCTCTCCAAAATACTGCTTCTCATTCATTCTTTAGCAGGAATGAGGAAAGAAACAAAAGAAAGTAGAAGACATGCAATTTAACAAGAATCTACACCTAAAAGAGGTGGAAATAAATCAATGTAAGAAGTAACTAAGATCACTGCTATTGGATTTAGAGTCACAGTCTGTGTCCCAACAAGCTAGATTTAGCCATCCATCCTCAATAAACCAATTAAAAGACCTCAAGTTAATAGTGAAAAGCAGAAAAAGAGATTTATTCAATGTGACCACAATGGGAAGTGAGACAAAGTTCCAGGAATTTTTCCCCCCCCCGCAACCAACTCTATCGCCAAGACTCCAACATGAGGGTAGGGTTTAAAAAGAAGGCAGTTTAGCAAGTTGTGGTCCCCTGCCCACCAATGTGTGAGTTTCACACCTCTCCTGCAAGGTCAGTCTCTGCTGTGAGGTCATCTGACAAGTTGTAAATCTTTTTCTAGGAGAGAAGCTCCTCTTCTGGATACTCCTCTTAGAGCTTCAGCCTTTTCTTCTACTAGAAGGTGATTCCTTGAGGGAAACTCTAAATACTTGAGAGTCTGATTACCTAAGGTGGGTATACAAAGTAGGATAGTTATTTCACCTGTGTTCATTACTAAATACATTATGATTCTTGAGATGATACTTTTTATCCTGGTAGATGCAAGATAACCCCAAGGGTTCTCATAAGAAACACTGTTTATTTGCTTAGTTTTTTAGGAGGTGTGTGTGTAGGGGGGCATAAGAAAGGGAGGGAGTGGCTAAGTGTTTAAGCCAGATACAGTCCTATTGTTAGTAGACTTGGGGTCACAGCCTGTGCCCCAAGAAGCCAATCAAAAGAGCAAAATTGATAGTGAAAAGCAGAAAAAAGAGATTTAGTCAATGTGGCCATATTGGGAAGAGGGACAAAGTGATCCAGCACCTCCTTCCCCCAATCCATCTTTGGGATCCTGACAAGGGGATAGGGTTTAAATACAAGTCAAGAGATAAGCATAATGAAGCAGTCTGGCCAAGGCATGGACCCCTGCTTTTCTCAGCATTTCCTCAACTCCAAGCAACCCTTGTAAGGTTAGTCTTTCTTGAAAGGTTATCTGACAAGGTGTAAATCTTTCTCCAGGAGACAAGTTCCTCTACTAGCTGCTCCCAGGGCATCACCCAGCAGGAGATTTCTGGTGAAATTTTAATTTCTTGGCATCCATTTTTTCAGTAGTCTGATAGCCAAAGATGGGAGCAAGCATCTCTTTAGAATATATTCATCTCTACCAAGCAGACCAGTTACACTATTGAGTTCAAAATTTTGTCCAGGTTTCTTTTGCTAAGCTTCCCTTCTCAGTCAACATATGGACAAAGAATCACTTTTCTTCTCTATTTTTCAGCTAGTGAACATAGCAGGCTATTTGTCTTCATGACTTGTAAAGAATGGAATCTCCCTCTAGGTGGAGATGTGTCCTTGTTTCCTCCCTTAAGGGGCAGGAAGGGCACCTGGCTAGGAGACCACCCTTAAGAAAGCAGGTTCACCTTAAGATAATGTGCTTTTTCCTCCTAGAATTGCCATGTCTTAGTGTAGCCCCTACAAACCAAGCCATCATGAACTTCCACTGGCTCCATTTGCTGTTCAAAGGTGCAACTATTTCTTCTCTTTTTTCCTCTTTTGGATGCTGGCTACAGCCTAAGCATGCTTTTTTAAAACGTTTTAATTGAATTTTTGTGTATTTCATATACAACACCTTAATCATCTTTATGCCCCCTTCCCCATTGGCACCCTCCTATAGGCCCCTACTGGATTTCATGCATTCTGTCATTTATGTTAAGGCCTATCAAGTCAAGTTAGTGTCCTCTGAAGTCCCTTATTGCAAGTTCATCCTAAGCCCTAAGCATGCATTTTTTTGGGAGTCTTTTTTGACACAGGGTTCCCTGTAGCCCCAGCTGGCAAGGAACTCACTGTGTAGACCACACAAGCCTTGAACTCACAGAGATCCTCCTGCCTCTGTCTCTGGAGTGTTGGGGATTAAAGGCCTGCACCACCTCTCCCAGCCTCTAAGCATGCTTTTAAGCTCTCTAAATAATGCTTTGGGCTTCCTCGCTCTTTTTCTGAAGTTCCCCTCCCAGGCCTATGGCTGCCTGCCCCAAGAGGCTGACCTCCAGGCCACTTACCTCAAGCTTTTGTTCCTTCTTTACTTCATCCTCCTCTCTTTCTGGCAGCTTCGAGATTTACAACTTGCCTGTCCTGGAGTTTTCCTTTTAAATGCTATAACCTGAGAGTCTGTTCAAGTCCAGTTGAGTCCGTTCTTTGAACTGGCTTAGCAAACTTCCCCAAGTTAGTCCATTTTGTTCAGAGTCATTTTAGCAGCAACTTTGCTCCACACCAAAAGGAAAAGGGGGGCAACCTTGGGCCTTGGAAAATTGTCCTAGCCATGAACCATGGAATGTGCTAATTCCAGACATTATACATCTGACTAACCAGCTTGTTTTTGCTTCTGTAATCTGCTTGCTATTTTGGGTCATCTTGACACAGGCCATAAGACCACCCTTGTTACCTTGTTATTGTATGACCACCTAGAAGTCATTTACCTTGACTGTCTTATTATACTTATTATGGCTAAAACAGTTGGCTAGTTTTAAGGTCACAAATTTGATTGTCAAGTTATATGACTGTATCACTTGTCTGATTGGTTGTTGATTAATAGAGTCAAAATTCTGCTATGTTGTACAAACCTGATTGGTTCACAAATGTCCTGTTTTAATAATAATTCTGTAATCCTATAAAAACTCTGACCTGACAATCATCAGGGCTGCTTCTACTCCCGAGATAGCCCAGCCGGTTGAAAATTAAAATTTACCTTGCTACTTTTCTTAAAGTGGTGTTGGTGATTTTTTTTTTTTAAACGAACTCTGTCCTATAACATTCTTGTCCTTGAGCTTCCATTTGTGTCCATTCTTAAATTCTTTTATTAATGAGGCTAAGAACCCCAAGAGAGGACACTGATTTCCCAGGTATCACATGACGATTCTGCTGGGACTCCCAGATTTCCTCTAACACTTCTTTCCTGCGTTTTAATTCTTTAATTGGCAGAGAAGACGATTTCAACGCCCCCCCCCCCCAATACATTGCAGGCAGGAATCCTGCCATTTACCTTGCCTATCCCTGTGCTTAGCATTACATCTGGAACTCTGTTTTCACACTGCTTCAGCCTCTTCACGGTGGATTATGGGCTTTATGTGGGTTTGTTATAATTTAGAGTTGTTCACCCAGAGCTACCCTCGGCATGGACAGACTACATTTGTCAAAAACCTGCAAGTGTTATAGAATATAAACTGCTTAAAAGAATATCAAATAAAAACCTTGAAAAAGCACTCAGGAGACTGAAGCATGAGGACTGCAAATAGTTCAAGGCTATTCCATCTGAGCTAAGTGGTGAGTTTTGGGCCAACCAGCGCTTCATAACAAGAGTTTGTCTCAAAACCAAACCAAGCCAAAAACCTTGTCTCAAGATAAAAATTTTAAAGCTAGGAAAATAAGAGAGAGAGAGAGAGAGAGAGAGAGAGAGAGAGAGAGAAAGAGAGAAAGAAACACGTTGGAAGAAGTTAGTGAACCCGAAGGCAAAAGTCTGTGTGGGACTTCCATGAGCCATGGGTTTTTTGTTTGCTTTGCTTTTGGTTTTCAGATTTGAGTGCTAGGTCTGTTATCTAAACAAAACTGTTGCTTGGCACACGAATCACTCTCAATACAGTATTGTGGGGCGGATAGATAGATGAATGAATGGACGAAAGAGCTTGCCCTTGCAGTACACCTAGGGACTAGTGACAATCTGCAAGCCCAGCGCACAGGTAACTCAAGATCCAGTGGTCCGCAGCAGCTACCCTCAGAGGTTGGATGAGAGCCCTGCGGCCACGCCCTCCGCCGCCACGCCCCTCGCTGCCGCTACCACGCCCCCGGCCGTCGCGACCACGCCCCCGGCTGCCGTCGCGCGTGCAAGGGCTTCTGGGAGCCGGCTGGGGTCTGAGGAAGGGGCGCCGGTGGCAGCCATCTTTGGTTGCCAGCCGGGTTGCCGGGTGACACCCTCTAGGAGGAGCGTCTGCCCTGTTGTGTCTGCAGTCGACGTCGACGACGAGGACTGCAAGTCCCGGAGCCGGAGAGGACCTCTTGAATGGGTAAGTGGGAGTGACGCAGGCCGCCGGCGGGAGTGCGGGCCGTCAGAGGCTGTTCTGCGCATCTAATTTCCGGGAAGGGCTCGGACCTCGGGTTTCTGGCTCCCGGCGGGCCGCAGTCGTGGGGGCGTGGCAGCAGGTCGCGCCCCTCTATGGCTCCCCGCTGTGCTGCTCTACTTCTTCCCGGCTCCCCATTTCTTGGTTGTTTTTGGTATGTACCGATCGCGTTGTCCAGAGGCTGCCACCGTACGGAAACGTCAGTGCCTGCCGAGGAGACAGGTGAACCCGGGGACGCTCCGACCCGCATCCAAGCAGGCTCGCCTTCCATCTGGACGCCGGCGACCCTGTGTTCCACGCCTTTGTCAGCCGTCTCTGCTCCAAGATAAAAAAGTGATGCATGATAGATGTAAGCATTTGAAAGCAGTGAAAGGGCGTAGTGATACGTCAAAGAACGTGACATTTACTCTTGAGATTTTTGTGCACATCAAAAATGTATATTAAAAAAAACGGTAAAAGACTGAAAGGACCTCTGATTTGTCTCAACTTCAGTACACAATAATGACTAGGATTTTGTAGGAAAGATGTTTTCTAGGAGAGCAAGGAACTCTGCTTTCTATCTCAGTAGTGTGTTCGGTGGGAGGGGCTCTTAAGTTGACCCTTTCCGCCCTGTACAGGCTTGTCATTTTCTTTTGTAAAACATTTTATTTATTAGTTTATGTGTATGAGTGTATTGCCTGCATGTATGTAAGTGCACCTGTGTCGTGCAATGCCCACGGAGGTCAGAAGAGGGCGTCAGATTCCCCCAGAACTGGAGTTAAGGATGGTTGTTAGCTACCCTGTGGGTGCTGGGGACCAAACCCAAGTCCTCTGCAAGAGCAGCTAGTGCTCTTAACCACTGAGCCATTTCTGTAGCCCACTTATGTGTTTAAGAACTGGTTAAATTTATGAATGGACACCCCCACACACACTTCAGTTTGGCAACTGTAAGGTGTCTGAATATCAGTTCTATTTCAAATCACTCTTACCAAATCCTAACCTTTGAAGTACAGTCTAAAAAAACTTACTTTCCAGTGACAAAATTTGTGATTATTTTCCTTGACCTTAACATTTGAAGATGACAGAAATGTAGAAAGTATTATAGAAGAAAAAAAAAAAAAGAAAATGATCTATGTGGTCTTAATGCTACATTTTATTTGGATAGCAAATTTATATTGAAATGTTTTAATGTAGTTGACTAGTAATCTAAAGAAGTAGTGTCTAGAATGCAGGAGTATAGTGGCTGAGAAGCCCCCAAAGTGATCTATCCAGTCACATGTGAGAAGATTAGAACTTCTCATAGTTTACTGTTTTAATTGATTGCTTTTAGAAATTTGCTAGTTTTGTGAATTTTGGATGGGGTAATAGATTAAGATAGTAATGCATGTATAAAAATGAGCATCAAAGGACCTGGAGAGATAGCTTATTTTCTACTTATTTTAACAACTAATATTGAGGTCTAGTTTAGTCTTGTTTTCCTATCTAAGCCTTAGCTTTTAGTGAAATTAGATTTTTTGTTTTTAGATTTATATTTAAATTGTGTCTCTGTGTGTGTGTGTGTGTGTATGTGTATGTGAACATGAACATGAGTGCAGGCGCCCATGGAGGCCTGAGGCATTGGATCCCAGTGGAACTGTTGGTGCTGGGAACTGAGTTCAGGTTCTCTGTAAGAGCAGTATACACTCTTAACCACTAAGCCATCTCTCCAGATTTTTAATAATAGAAAATAGAGAATACTGCAAACTTTTTTATTAATAAATTTGAGAAATTTCTAATTATTGTTTGTAGGTACATAATGTATTACTGAAATCCATTAAATAGTTTGAAAATGTATTTGACCAGGTATAAATGCATTATGCATCCTGAGCATGCACTACCACTGAGCTACACCTCCAATCCACAAAGTACCTTTTATTTCATTCTGAGATCCTTAGTCTCTTATGTTCTGACTTGAGCTCCACCAGTAGTGACATTTGTTTCACTATCTTTACCATTGACCTCTGATTACTAAATTTGTTGCCTGGTTTGGTACTTGACTTATTTGCTTAATGAATCAGTGAGTAAAATAAATTAGGGGTGTGTTATTAGTGCTTTTACAACTCAAATAACTTCTTTTTCTCTCCAACTCCCTTCTATATTTTTTATTTTCCTTTTCTGTCCTATTTCTTTTTGCTTTTTATGTGTATATGTTTTATGCTTGCATGTAAGTGCACATGTGTCGTGCAGTGCCCTGGGAGGACAGAAGAAGACATCAGATCCCTTGGAACTCAAGTTACTGAAGCTTGTTAGCTGCCATGTGGGTGCTAGGATTTGAACCTAGGTCTTCTGCAAGAGCTGCCAGTGCTTTTAACTGCTGAGCCATCTCTCCAGCCCTCAAGTCTACTTTTTACTTTTAATTTGGCATGTATTTGTGAGTAGGTTGTGTGCATATGAGTGCAGTACCTGCAGAGACCAGAGACATCAGATTCCCTTGGAGCTGGAGTTACAGGCATTTGTGATGTAGATGCTCAGGAACAGAACTCAGGTCCTCTGGAGAGGCTTTATGTGCTCTTAACTGTAGAGCCATCTCTTCAGCCCTGTTCATATTACATGATATTGGATGATTTTGTCTTATAGTTTGACCTATATCTTTAACCATCTGTAACTCAAAACAGAGTCTCCTAAAGTCAATAGTAATCTATTAAAATGTCTGCAGTTAACATCAACATCAATCTTGACAATACCAAATGGCGACAAAATGCGGGGCAGCTGGAACTCTCATACATTGTTTCTAGGAATACAAGATAAACGCCTGTATACAAGTATTTGTAGCACATTTAACATTCGTAACAACTTAAAACTGGAAACCACCCAAATATCCTCCAACTGGTCAATGAATAGACTATGTTATCTTTTATGTGAAGTGCTACTCAGCAATAAGAAGGGACAAACTTTATATGCTAATAACATAGGTATTTCTAAAAGTGCTAGATTAAAAAGATCGCTATATGCCAGATGATTACATTTATATGATATTCAGACACACCAGAACTGTATGGCTAAAGAGCAAGTCAGTAGCTGCCAGATGTGAACCATGGGGAGTGGGAAGGGAGAAATCTTGATAGAGACCTATATATAGCATTGAGTTTTTGAACAGTGCCAGTGAAGCTGCTGTTCTGTCTTAACTGTAATGATCTTATGTTTATGCATTTGTTAAATTCATAAAATTATATTCCCAAAGTGAGTTTTACTATATGTAAATTTAAAAGTTGAATTCATTATCCTTTTTTCAGAAACAACCAGCAAACAAAACAACAGCTACTCCAGTCCTCCAGCTATGTACTTTGTCTTGTTGTTTTGTTGTAATACTGAAAACTGGTTCAAGCTAGAAACCATCCTCAGTTGCTCATTTCTCTTCTTCCCCACTCACTACCCGCAGGTTAAATTTGTTTGGTTTCTGGACTCCAACCTGTCTTTGTATTTCCATTTCTATCATTTTGGCTTAGATCGTCTTCTCTTTTTTTCCCCTGAACTATTAAAACAACTTCCTAACTCCAGGCCCAGCTTGACTTCTGTTCTAATTTCTTTTTTCTTTTCTCTTTTTTCCCTTTCCCTCATTCCTTTCCTCTTTTTCTTTTCCTTTCCTTTTTCCTTTCCCCTTTCCCTTTGCTTTCCTGTCCCTTTCTCCCCTTCCTCCCCCTTCTTTCTTTCTTTTTTTGAGGTGGTCTCACTCTGTAGCTCTAGCTGGCCTAGAACTTGTTAGATAGCCCAGGTAGACCAGGCTGATCTCTCAGAGCTCAGCCTACCTCTGTCTCCCAAGTGCTATGATTAAAGGTGTGTGCCACTATGCCCAGCTCTATTCTTAATTATTTTCGATCTTTTTGCTTACCTGGGGTGTCTTTTAGTTGTCTTTTACTAGTAGTTTGAAGTGGAATATTGGATTATTCATTGCAATTTCACTTGTTTTTCTCCCTTTAATCTTTTTAGTTCTGTTTCATAGGATCAAGTTGAAGTTCCTTGACTGGACTGGAGAAACCAGTATTTTACTTTTATAGCTTTATTGCCTGTCTCTTTTTCCATTAGACCTCTTGATGAGGCACATTGAATTCCTTACAGCTCAGTGTTTATACCAGGCTTACTCCAAATCTTTTGTCTTTATAATGAAATGTTTATTCCTCTTTTTCCTTTTTCATCTGTTAACATAGAGTAACAGTGAAGCCTTTTTGAGCTCCCTAAGGAATAACTAATCACTTTCTTTTGAGCCCTCACAGGACTTAATGCATATGCTTTAGTGTACTTCATTACTTACAGTAAGATCTGAAGACTCATTAGTCATCATCTTATAGCAGAGATGCGGATACAAGAAGGCCTTTCTTGTGCTTACATCATAAGCCAATTGATTATATCATTCTCTGGACAGGCATGGATATGTCCTTCAAACTCACCAAAATAATATGTAGTCACTAAAAATCTGTCACATTTAAGTTACATGGAAATACTGCTTTAGACTACATCTTAATCTTCATGTGTAAGCCAAGAATAAATTATAACATCAATATTTTAGTATTCCTACCGTATATCAGGGTAATGTTGGTATATTAAGAGGTTTATAATTTTCTGAAGGTAAAACTAATATGTGTGTTTCAGATATGTGGAACTCACTATGGAAACCAGACTGGTCTCCAACTTACTGAGATCTACCTGCCTCTGCTTCCTGAGTGCTGGGATTAAAGGAGTGCACCACCATATGTGTTTTTAAAAAGATTTATTTTTATTTTATGTGTATGAATGTTTTGTCTGCATGTACGTAAGTGTACCACATGCTTTCAGTGTCCATGGGACCAGAAGAGGTCATCAGATCCCTTGAGCTGCCATGTGGATGCTGGAAACCAAACCAGGGTCTTCTGCAACAGCAGCTGTGCTCTTAACTACTGAGCCGTCTCTCCAGCCCCTAAAATACTCGTGTTAGTGTTTTAAAATACACATGTGACAAAACTTTAGAAATAAAATGTGCAAGTATTTTATTGTTTCAAAAGAACTAATACAGTCATAGCTCAGTGTCCTATATGGCCTTGGTGATACCTTAAGTAAGTGAAAGAACCAAGACCCCAGTAAATATTTGAGGTGCTTATTGATGCTAATACCGTGTTTTATTGAAAATAGGACTATATAATACTGTTTCTTGATTTTGCTAGCTGTATTTAGAAGTTTATTTATTTATTTATTTGTTTATTTATTTATTTATTTATTTTTATGTGTGTGTATTGCCTGCATGTAGGTAAGTGCACCCGAGTTGTGCAGTGCCTGCAGAGGTCAGAAGAGGCTGTCAGATCTCCTGGGACTGGAGTTACAGACAGTTGTTAGCTGCCATGTGGGTGCTGGGATTTGAACCCAGGTCCCAGGTAGTTCATGATTTTTCTGACTGACAGTAATTGAAAGGTACAGCTCCTTGAAAAATGTAAAATACCTCAGAGGATAAAGTCATAGAAATCTTAATCTGTGGAATAAGTATGATGTCTGTGTAGACCATAACTGTTGTTTAATAATGCTATAGTTTGAATGTGATTTGTCCTTGCCAAAATTCATGTTGAGGGCTGGTCATGGTGGTACATGACTTTAATCCCAACACTTGGGAGGTGGAGGCAGCTGGAGGCATTGGATCTCTGTGAGTTCGAGGTCAGCCTGGTCTACATAGTGAGTTCTTTTTTTTGGCTTTAGACCCTGGCCCAAAAAAACCAAAAAAAAAAAAAAATACACTTATTCTTTTATCAGTATTGGAGCAAAATATCCAAATATTTTAGAAATTATTTATTGGTCTTAGTTTCCTGATGCTTTAACAGACCACCTGAGACCTGAGTGATTTACTATTTACTTTTTTAATGTGTATTTTTTTTATGCCATGGAGGTCAGAGGTGTCAGATCCCCTGGAACTGGAGTTACAGATGGTTGTTAGCCACCACATGTGTGCTAGGAATCCAACCCAGGTCTTCTGCAAAAGCAATCAACGCTCTTAATCTCTGAGCCATCTCTTCAGCCCCAGGGCAATTTACTAAGAGGTTTATTTAGGTCACAGATCTGGAGTCTGGGAAGGTGCCAACAGATACTAGATCTGTAATGGAGGCCTCAAGCTGATTCATAGACAGCAGGAGAGCTGACAAACATCAGTAGAAGAGGAAGGGGGTAAAGTTGCCAACCTACTTTGTAATAACCTACTCCAGTAACGTATTTCCACAAAAAGACATCCATTCCTCTTAAAGGAAACAATACCACTATATCCGCAATCATATTTCAACATGAATCTTTTTTTGTGGTTTTTTTTTTGGTCTTTTTGAGACAAGGTTTCCCTGTAGCCACAGCAAAACTATATTCTTTGTAAGTTTTGAAGTGGGTTTTATTGATCTGTATAGTCAATGAGTTTGAGTTTAGTTGCCTAAAATAAGCCTCTTCTTATATTTAGAATTATCCCTGTCAGTTACCCCTTTCTATTTTCTTCTTTTAAGATTCCATGGCTAGCCCAGGGAAGGATAACTATAGAATGAAAAGTTATAAGAATAAAGCTCTGAATCCTCAAGAGATGCGTAGGCGAAGAGAAGAAGAAGGAATACAGCTTCGAAAACAAAAAAGGGAAGAACAGGTAGGTGATTTTAGATAATTTAACAGAGAAAAATTATCATATAGAGGTTTAAAGGTTCATTATTGCTATTTTTAAGATAATTCTAAATAGAAAAGTATTTTAGAAAATTATTGCTAAATCTATTCTTTAGTTAGCTTTCAGGAATATTTGTAAATCCACAGTTATAATCCTGTACTATTTTTAGTTGCTCACAAGAACGACTTTTCTCTTGTACTAATAAATTCTATGTTACCATATTTCTCTCCTAAAAAATATTTACTCTTGAATCATTGAGATCACCTTGTTTTCAGTGTAGAATTTCTCCCAGAAAACACATACTTATTTGTGGATTTCATAGGCCTTAAGTCAGTTAATCTTCTTTCCAGGTTCTCCTGTGCTTCCGGTAGCCAGATTTGATAGCCTCCTCTTTTTATACTTTATATGTGAGATATAAAGACTAGAAAGTCATTCAGAGAGCACATCTCAACATTCTTCATTCCAAGATGTACTTAGATTTATAAATATTTATGAATTAATAGAAAGAGTGGTCCTCACATTTACAAATTAAAAGTGATGTGTGAAAAGGACCAGTGAAGAAAATACAAAAGGGCCTGCTTTGGAAGTGTGATTATGATTTGTCAGGTCTTGTCTGTAGCATCTTAAAGAAACCCTGAAAATCTGTTGAAGAAAAAAAGTATGTGCAGAAAAACAGCTGTATTTATTTACCTATCAAAGCATTATTTATTCTCAGTTTTGATTTATGTGCCTGCAAATCTTCACGGTATCATTTTTTCCCCTCTTTTTTTTCTGATTTTAGGCATTCTGGAATTAACAAGTATAGGGCTGTTTCACCTAAGAGTTTTCCCCTATTGCTTGTTTTGTTTTGCTTGAGATAGTGCCTCATATAGCTCAGGATGGCCTCAAATTCTCTTGTAGCTGAGAATGACCCGGAATTCTTGGTCCTCCTGCCTCTACCTCCCAGGTGCTGGGATTACAGACGTGCACTACCACACCCCTGTTCTTACTGCTTGTTAATTGGTATGCTTACTCTGTATAACATATAAATTGTATAACATGTTTAAAAGGATTACCTTTTAATCAGGATTTTCTTAGAAAAATTCTTCAACATTTTATAATCCAGTACCGAAATGTATGCTTTTTCAAATCCTATAAAACATAGCTTTAATATTTTAAAATATAAAAACTGTTTTTTTGGTTTGTTTGGGTGTTTTTTGTCTTTTTTTTTGGAAACAGGATCTCCCTTGTAGCCCCAGCTGTCCTGGAACTCACTATGTAGACCAGGCTGGCCTTGAACTCACAGAGATCTGCCTGCCTCTGCATCCCAAGTGCTGGGACTACAGGCGTGTGCCACCATGCCCGGGTATAAAAGCTGTTTTATTCATTCAAATGAAAAATGGAATTTTTTGACAATGGAATGTTTTTTAGGAAGCTCAGAGTATAAAGTGATTTCTCTTTATTGTAGCTGTTCAAACGCAGAAATGTCTCCTTGCCCAGAAATGATTACTGTATGCTAGAGAGCCCCATCCAGGATCCAGACATCAGCTCCACTGTGCCCATTCCAGAGGTATAGTTTACAAAAACTCAGAATTTATTATGAATTATACCTCAGTAATATTTCAGAGGTACTATACACACCAAATAATGTAAATAATATTTCTGCAAAATATTTAAATGCTGATTTTATTTTTTGTGTATGTTTTAGGAAGAAGTGATTACCACAGATATGATTCAGATGATTTTTTCCAATAATGCTGAACAGCAGCTAACAGCAACACAGAAATTTAGAAAGCTGCTTTCTAAAGGCAAGAATTATTTTTAGTATGCTTCTTTGACATTATTGAATGTTAGCAGTAGAGATTTATTTTATATATGCATTTTATTTTGAGATACTTTTTTTTTTTTTGCCAGAAACAGTTCTTAATTTCTCTTTAAGATGTATCTTAGCCAGACATGGTGGCATACACCTTTAATCCCAGCACTTCAAAAGCAGAGACTGGAGGATCTCTTAAGTTTGAGGCCAGCCTGATCTACATAGTGAGTTCTAGGCCAGCGAGGGCTACATAGTATGACCGTGTCTCCAAAAATGTATTTTAAAAATAACATGGTTAAACATTTTGTAGAAAAATTAAAAATTTAAAAGAATATAATGAAGGAAATATAAAAATAGAAATAATCCTGTTACCAATAAATAAGGCCATAAATTCTTAAGTATTAGTCACATATACATTTAAAAATTTTTTTTGGTCTTTTAGCCCTAGCTGGCCTGGAACTTGCGATGTAGACCAGGCTGGCCTGAACTCATAGAAATCTGCCTGTCTCTGCCTCTCGAGTGCTGGGATTACAGGTCTGTGCCACCACGCCTGGCTCACATACTTTTTGCTTACTCAGTTTTCGCAGTGTAGTTCAGGCTGGCCTCAGTCTCTAACCTCCTGCCTCAGCTTTCTAAGTACTGTCAGATACACAACATTGCACCTCTTTTCTTATTTACTGGCTTTTTATAATTCATAATGCCAATTTATTTATTTATCCAATTTAATATTGCATTTATAGTCATTCGTCATAAAATCCAAGCCTTTGGGACTGAGGAATTGACTAAGCAGTTAAGAGTACCTTGTTGTTCTTGCAGAGGACCCAGGTTCAATTCCTAGCACCCATGTGGCATCTAACAACTATCTCTAACTCTAGTTCCAGGAGATTTAACACCTTCTTGTCTCTGCAGGCACCAGGCATACATGTGGTATATGCATACACGCAGGCAGGCCACCCATAATACACATAAAATAAAAATAAATAACTTTTAAAAAAGCTTTCATAAAATTTAAGCCTTTGTTGAATTTTTCATATGTAGAATTCATAGACTTGGTAATTCTAATAGTACGGAATTGGGTTTATGAACTGATAAGATTTTGTAAATGCCCTTGGATTAGCTAACTTATTTTTGTAAGAAAGATAAAATTTACTAACATGAAGAATGAATGAAGTCTTGTGGTTAGGTCAGCATGGATTCTAAGACTTTTTGTCTTTGCTTTCTTATGTAGAAAAAGTGATTATATTGTAGAACAGATACAAAATGGGGGCTGGTGAGATGGCTCAGTGGGTAAAGACATTTGCTACCAAGCCTAATGACCAGAGCTTGAGCCCCAGAACCCACATGAGTGAAGGAAAGAGCTAACTCTAGCAAGTTGTCTTCTGATTTCCACACTTGCACAGTGGCATGTACATACACATAAACCCACATACACACAAAATAAATAAGTAAATGTAAAAAAACTTTGTAAAGGAGAAATTACCAATTTTAAGTTATCCTTTTATCAATATATTTAACTTTTGTTTTCCTTTTTAAAAAAAATTTTCCAGGCTGACGTAATAAAATCAAGAATGACTTCTTTTCTTTTAATCCCAGCATGTTAGTATATTTTTGCAATTGCTTTTTTCTTTTTTTTTTGAAATAGGGTCTCATCTAGCTCTGAGTGGCCTCGAATTTGCCTGCTTATGCTTCTCAGTGCTGGGATTAAAGGTATATGCCTCTACGCCCAGCCTGATCTTTTTAATGGTGCATAGTAAAAGGATTAAAAATTTATTGATAGCTTGTAATTAGAACAAGCACTAAGATAAGAGTATGGAGGGCCAGAGAGATGGCTGAGCCACTAAGAGCACTGGTGCTCTTGCAGAGGACCTGAGTTCAATTCCCAGCACCCACGCAGCGACTAACAACCATCTGTAACTTCAGTCCTAGAGGATCCAGTGCCCTCTTCTGACCTCCGTGGGCATTGCAGGACACATGTGCACCTACATACATGCAGGCAGTACACACATACACATAAAATCAAAATTTTAAAAAAAGATAGGGTATAGAATTAACATTTTGAAGAATCTAAACTTTGTTTTAGACTACCTGAACAAAATTTATGGGATATGTCTTAATCAGCTTTGCAGAAGTCAGAAGGGAGAATGAGAATTTTGTCTTGTGTGACTAGATGGGCAGTTAGACAGTTGGAGAGTGTTGGCCACAGGCAAGAGTAAAGAGTAATAGTGGTATGTGTTTGGTTTGGTATGCTACATTTTAAAAAGTTAGAAAAACAGTACATCTTACAGACATTTAAAAATATGGTCTGGAACACAGGAGACAATAATCCAGTTAAAGAGGTTTATAAATTTTCATAAGTGATAATGGTAAGTGACAACTGAATTTAGCAAAGTAGCTAAATTTTCTAAGAAGAGAATTAAATAGAAGACCCATAACAATACCCAGTTACTGAACCACAGGGGTACTTTTTATTGAAGCAGAGGTAGAAGAAAGATTTCTTTGTATTTATTTGGTTAGTACTTAGAATATTTTTGTTTAAATTTTACATGAATTCCAATAAATTTTACAATTCTTAGAAGCCTTCTGCATTTCATGAAAAAAATTTCAAGAATTTTAGGTTAGTTTGGTAGCATTTCTATAAATAATGTCTAGACAAATATCTGACTGAGACAGTGTGTAATGATGGTTGCTAGTGGGGGAGAGATCATGGAAGTGTAGGATGCTGCTATAAGGAATTAGTGGGAACTTTCTCAGTTGGCATTTTGAATATTGAGTCAAAATTCTCCTATACGTATGAAATATATTTTAATTTGCTATCGTTGCAATTAATGAAAAAGTAGAATGCACTGCAATGATGAGAATATTTGTCTTCAGTAACATCTAGCTAAGGGTTTTAAACTGACATCAGTGAAGCCTAGGAAAACTATTTCATGTGCCACATGGCATATTGTCAACTTGACAGAAACCTAGAATCATGAGACTGGAGTGATGGCACAGTGTTTAAGAGCACTGGCTGCCTTTGAGGACCCGGATTCAGTTCCCAGCACCCACATGGTGGCCAACACCTGTCCATAACTACAGTTCCGTGGAATCCGATACCCTCTTCTGGTCTCTGCAGACATTACATACATAGTATACTTACATGCAGGCAAAATACTCATACGCATAAAACAAATAAAAATTTAAACATCTGGAATCGCCTGGGAAATGTACCTCTGAGATGCCTGTAGGGGATTATCTTGATTACTTTAATTGAGGTGGGATGTTCCACCTATGTGCTTAGCACCTTTCCTCTCTATTGATATCCTGGACTGTGTTAATGGAGTAGGGATTGAGTAGAGGCAGGCATTTGTTGCTGTTGGATGGATGCAGTGTAATCAGTTGCTTTAAGCTCCTGCCCTGTGACTTCTGTTATGATAAACTCTAATTTGTTTCTCCCTTAGGTTACTTTTGTCAGGATATTGTCACAGCAGCAAGAAAAGAAATTGAAACATATGTTAATTGAAACAGTGATCAGATCCATATTCTTTTGTGTCTGTGTAACAATATTTCTTTTTAAATTTTAGAACCCAACCCACCAATAGATCAAGTTATACAGAAACCAGGAGTTGTACAGAGATTTGTGAAATTTCTTGAAAGAAATGAAAATTGTACTTTACAAGTGAGTGTACAGTTTTCTTTCTTAATACCTTTCTAGAAATGACAGTTTCTAATGAAAATAGCTTCTTTCAATTCTAACTATATTGTAAATATTCATTAAATACTTGGCAATTACAGGAAGAGATAGTGTCACTCTTGCCTAGGGCACGGTTATATGCTCGTTTCTTCTAGATATTTTGTTTAAACAGTTTGGTATAACATAAAATAATTGCTACTATTAATTCCCTATTTGTGAACCTTCTGATAACTTTGTTTTCTTTTATAAAACTCAAATTAAAGTGGTGATTTAATGATTAATGTTTTTGGTTTGGGTTTTGGGGTTTTTTTGAGTTTTTTTGATACAGGGTCTCCCTGTAGCCCCAGCTGGCCTGGAACTTGCTATGTAGTCTAGACTGGCCTCCATCTCACAGAGATCCACCTGCCTCTGCTTCCCAAGGTGGGATGAAAGGTGTGTGCCACCACTCCTGGCTTTGCTTGTTTTTTGAGACGGGGTATCATTGTAGCCCTGACTGATAGTCCCTATGTGGAATGGGCTGGCTTCTGAGCCCAGAGATTCCCTTGCCTCTGCTTAGTGCTGAGATAGTTTTTACTTCTTAAAACATTTTTAGCTGATAAATTTGTCTTTTTTTTTTTTTAAAGAATTAATATATCCTACTGAAAATATGATCAAAGTTAGATTTGTCCTAAAGAACATTACTTCTTTCTTAACCTAGGTATGGTTATATTTTAAGGTATCTTCCAGTTTCAGTATATATGCTGTGGAAGTGAATGCTAAGATGTCTTCTAGATAACTTGTTACCAATGGCAATTTACTGAAGTTTCCAAATATTTTACTGGTACAGAAAGAGATGACCTGCTCACTAGAACCAAGATTGTTTGCTGCTTTTTGTTACTTTTTTTGGTCTTTTTGAGACAGGGTCTCCCTGCTGGCCTCTGTGTATATTCTTGTTAAGTAAGAGTATAGAATAGAATCATACCTGTGTTTCAGGAACTGGAGACAACCTGTACCCAACATGAATGCTGTTATTTGAGACATAATTGTTTAATTTACAACTGAGAGTAGTGGTCCACTTGAGTGAATAAATTTGGAATAATTAGGCATAAACAAAGGAATGTATAATATGCATGTATGTGAAAAATTATTGATAATATTTCTAATCTGAGTAAGAAGGTGCTTTATTCAAGTTAATTATTTTGGATTAGAAATTACGAGATTTAGTGTCTTTGCTTTATGTAAGTGAATACAGACTAAAACTCAGGTTCGTTGATAATCTACTTCTATTATTTGGCTTCTTAAGTCCAGTAAATCAAAGGAGGAATAAGGGCATATGAATAAATAAAATTATTGAGTGGTATGTTGAGTGGTAATTTGAGAGTCAAGCATTATATATTATATACTTTATTATATATTATGTACTGTAGTTCTAAAATTAAGATACTGTTCCTGCCTACAGAAGTTATTCAGAAGTAGTAAAACAGTATGCTTAGTACTGTAACAGATCTGTGGGAAAAAAATGCCCTGGGAACATAGTAAAGTATTTGACCCTGTAGGGAAGTAAGGAATAATTCATGAAGGTGGTTTTGAGGGCAAAGTAGTTTGACAAAGTGAAAACAAAAAAAATCACTATTAGGTTTAGAGTATAACATTTATAGAGTATTCAAGAACATTGGGAATTTGAGCTTTTATTATTCACTCTTTGTTCACACCTAATGAAATTTATCAATATGGTTTTGAAACTGCTCCATGCTATGCTTATGACCCAAGTGCATATTATTCTGTTAAGACCATTAGTCTTGCCTAAATAATAGCATTCAAATGAGGGGCCTGCGAGCTAGATTGTCCTTCAAACAGTTTTTGTTTGTCATGCATACATTTTAAAACATGTGAAATAGATATCAGATTTATAAAAATGGGGATTTCAAGCCAGGTGTATTTCGTTGTGTTTACAGTACCACACACATGAATCCCCTCCCATTGAGCAGGCTTTAAGTCCAATCAGACACCTGTTAATTACCCCCAAGATAAAAATGCCACTCCGGTACCAATAGAGATAATTTGCTGCACCGGTTATTGTTGTGGTTATTAGACTTTACAGCTGGGTTGGACCGTTGATTGGTGTTCTCCCTTAGCAGCTTGCAGTGTATCCTTGGAGGCTTTTAGGTCAGCTCACTAAATTGTTCTAAGTCCTGTGTCCGAAGTATGTTCTGTCTTTAGTGGTAGGGTCTTACCCTTCAAGTTTTGGGAGTCAATCAAGGACTATGGCAATAATCTGTGTTATTTTGGGAGTCTCTTGGACTACCCTGACCAACAACTCCAATGGGAGGTTTCTCCTGTCTTGCACTGTGTCACTGTGTTTCTTGTTATATAGTCTTCAGTTATACATACGCACTGAGATAATCTCCTATGTATATTTATCAAGTTGGCTTTTGAGTGAATGCATTTCCCTCTAGTTTTTCACACCACCTAAGCATTATTTATCTCTCCTCTCTATCCTTCTGTACAACCCTCCCTCCTCTTCCCCCAGTTAAAGTACTCCCATTTTCTCCATTTCCCCCTTGATAACACCTGTCTTCTACTATCCTACTCTTCTGTTCTTCTTCCCCTTTACCCCTATAGTTGCTTTCCACTTTGCTGGCTCCTGTGCTTACATCAGGATGTATACTCACGTTTAAGGATTTGGAGCTAAGATCCACAAATGAGAGAGAACATAATGTCACTTGTTTTTCTGAGTCTGTTACTTCACTTAGTATAACAGTTTCTAGTACTGTCCATTTACTTGCAGATTTTATGATTTCATTTTTCTTTACCACTGAGTATAACTCCATTGTGTAAATGTACCACACTTAGTATAACAGTGTCTAGTACTATCCAATTTACCTGCAGATTTCATGATTTCATTTTTCTTTACTACTGAGTATGACTCCATTGTGTAAATGTACCACATTTTCATTAGCCTGTCATCAGTTGAGGGATATTTAGGTTGTTTCTGTTTCTTAGCTGTTGTGAGAAAAGCATCAACAAGCATGGCTGCACAAGTTTCTCTACAGTAGATGAAGAGGGCATAGACCTTAAAGAGAAACCTACATCTGTCTCATCCCTAGTCAAATTTAATTTCTTACTGTATGCCAAATATGGATCCACACCTCTCACCACTCATCAAAGAAGCTTTTTGCAATAGATGGAGACTATTATAGTTTCACAACTGGTTAAACTCAGAGAAAAGTGTCTATGAGATGCCCAGCCCTAAGTTCACATATACAATGCAACCTGTACACCTAAGGCTCACGGAACATAGTGAACAGTGGGCAGAGACAATACTAATGCATCTCTCAACTCTCACCAAGGAAGCTTCCTCATGCAACAGAGGGTGATTAACACAGAAAGCCATAGCTGTTCAAAATATAGAGAATAAGAGACTGCAAAATGGGTGTCCCTGGATAGGACTCCTATATTAAATCTCTGCCACCCAGAGTTCAGGGACCACTGTGAAAGAGGAGGCAGAAAGATGGTAAGAGCCAGGGGTGGTGGATGACCACAAGGAAACAAAGAGTTTTCCAAATGGCTAGAAATTTGTTCATATGAACTTGCAGCAATGAGGACGACATGCCAAGACCTATGCAAATTCAAATTGGACAAAAACACAACATTGAAGTGGGGAAATGGATAACAAGCTACAGCCATAGCTAAAGAACTGTTGGTAACTGATCACTACTGGTTAAGGGAAAATTGATCTTTAAGGGAGTAACACTAGATAGGTTGACCAGGCTCCAGTGGATGAACTCACACCAAGGGACATCTAAAGACACAAATTTGACCCAAATAGGCCCTAACATACATGACAGAATGCATGAAACCCCGTGAAGGGACTATGGGAGGGTGTGTAGATGGGGGGAGGGGTTCTAAGTATGATCAAGATGTATTATGTGAAATGCATAAAAATTCAATAAAAATGTTAAAAATGGGGATTTCAAAAGAATTAATAGATTTTTTGCTGTTGATAAGTATTGTTTCTTCCAACTTTTTTTTTTTTAATTAGAGATGTATATTCCATTTTTTCACAGTTGTTTAGTAGGTTTTTGATTTTACAGGTCTTTACTAATGTTTTCTCCTAGTGGTACCTAGGAGAAATTTTTAATCTTTTACTTGTTTTTCATTTATTTCCTAATTTCTAATTAGTTAGAGTTCTCAATCTCCATTGTCCATAAATATAAATTATTCCCTTAATTTTTTTCTTAGTCTCCATACATAATAATTGTTCTTTTCATTATTTTAATAATGCCTTCAGATAGTTTTTGGTTAGTTATGCAATGACACATTAATGTGAAAATTGTTTATTTGGAATTTTTTTTTCCAAAATATTTTTTAAGCTACAGTGATTGCTTATTTTGTGAATTTCTAGGTTGCTTTCTATATTTGCTGGTTGATTATTTAAGAGCAGTATATTGGATTTTTTCAATTGCTTCTTTTAAAGTCCATTACGTCTAAGTATTTTAAAATTCTGATTGAATTGATGAGTTAACTTATCAGGTTCTACTGCATGGAAGAATAACAAACTCCTACTCCCATCTCTACTAATAATGAAATCTTCATGCTGAACAAATCCCTAAGTCTCTGTTACGCTAATTTTCATGTTTATATGTGTGTGTGTGTGTGTGTGTGTGTGAAACTTGTTTATACAAAACATTTTTAAGCTACAGTGATTGCTTCTTTGTGAATTTCTATGTGATATATATATATATTCTCTATAGTGTCTGACTTGTGTCCCCAAATGTCCTTCAGTGTGGTTGCATCCACTGGGCCTACCAAGAGTCCTATCCCTGTAAGGCACTGTCTTTTCCCTTCCTAACAACCATTCAATTGCCAAAAATTCCTTGGGTTGGGTTGGGATTTCTTGCATAGTTCCCCAGGTCTATGCTGGGATATTGTCTGGTTTGAGCTTACTTGGACTTGTGCATGCTGTCACCATTGCTGTGAGTTCATATGAGTAACTGACCAGCTTTCCTTGTGGTCATCCCCCCCCCCCCCCCCGCTCTTACAGTCTTTTTGCCCCCTCTTCAATGATTCCTCAGCCTTGGGAGGCAGAGGTTTGAAATAGGTGTCCTATTAGGGATGAGCATGCTGTGACCTCTTGTTCTCTGCACATTGGCCATTTGTGAGTGTCTGTGTTAATTGCCATTTGCTGCATAAGGAAACCTTTCTGGTGAGAGTTGAGAGATGCATAGAAGAGATGTATAGAGATGTATAGATGTATAGATGTATAGAAGTTGCATTGAAGGTATGCCACTTAGGGTTAAGTATCACACAGATACTCAGATACTTATTAGCTGTGTTTGACCGTTGCTGGAACTCTGTAATAATCTCCATCTCTTGCAAAAAGAGGCTTCTTTGATAAGGGGTGAAAAGTTCACTTGTCTGTAAATATGAAGATGCATATTTAGAATAAGGTAAGAAATTACTTTGGTCTAGTGACGTGACAAAAGCAGGTTTTTCTCTAGACTCTATGACCTCTCCAGCCATGTGTATTTGGCTATATTTACAGTACCACACATGAGTTCCCTCCCATTGAGTGGGCCTTAATTCCAATTAGACAGCTGTTGATTACCCCCAAGATAAAAGTGCCACTACTGCACCAATAGTGATAGTTTGCTGGGTGAGATGTTGTTTATTAGGCTTTACAGCTGGGTAAGACCATTGATTGATTTTCTCCAAGTCCTGTGTCTGAAAGTGTGACCTGTCTTCAGCACTAGAGTCTTACTTACCCTTCAGGTTCTGGGAGGCAATCAAGGACTGTGGCAATAACCTGTGTAATTTTAGGAGTCTCTTAGACTACCCTGACTAACATGACCATCAACTTACAGGATTCCTATTTGGTTCTTTGTACAAGCTGAAGAATCCTTTTTTTTTTTTTTTTAATTAGAAAAAAATTTTTGTTGAATTATTTTGATTTTCATACAACATAAATTGATGGCATTTAGATCCCCTTCCCTAGCCACACCTCCCCTTATTGCCCCCCACCCAATTTGATGTAGTCTAGTATATATATGTACAGTAAGGACTATAGAGTCTAATTAGTGTCCTCAAATGTTTTTCAGTATGGTTCCATCCACTGGAGCCTGGTTAATCTACCAAGAGTCCCATTCTTGAAAGAGACTGCCCCTCCCAACAGCCATCATTTTCCAGTTTCCTTAGGATGGGTTGGGGTTTCTTGCCCACTTCCTCTGTATGCTGGGATTTTGTATGGTTTGAGCTTGCATGGGACTTGTGAACTTGTGAATACTGTCACTATTGCTATATATTCATATGAGTAACTGACTCCCTGTCTGGGAAACTATTTCCTTGTGGTCATATATAATTTCTGGCTTTTATAATCTTTTGGCTCCTCTTCTCCAATGATCTCTGAGCCTTTTGGAGGTAGCTTTTTTTTTTTTTCTTTTTCTTTTTTCTTTTCCTTAAATAAGGTTATTTCTAAAATCTGACTTCACAATGATTTTTTTTTTTAATCTTTTTTATCTTTTTGAGACAGGGTCTCCCTGTATCCCTAGCTGGCCTGGAACTCAACATGGAGATCAGGCTGGCCTCAGTTTCACAGAGATCCACCTGCCTCTGCCTCTCAAGTGCTAGGATTAAAGGCATTGGCCACCATACCTGACCACAGTGAATCTTAATAATCATAAGAGTCAATCTTTCTTTCAGATTTGTCTTTTATTCCATTCTTCCTTTCTGGCATTTCCTTTGTTGCTTTTATCAATTTTGCTTTTCTTCCTTAGTTTGAAGCTGCATGGGCGTTAACTAATATAGCTTCTGGAACTTTCATGCACACCAAGGTAGTGATTGAAACTGGAGCTGTTCCAATTTTTATCAAACTTCTCAATTCAGAACATGAAGATGTTCAGGAACAGGTAAGTTTGCAACTTGTAATGTGATATATGCTAGAGTTTTAAAACTTCCCTTGACAGACTGTTTGTAATTATGACTTGTACTTCAGTTTTATGCCTGATTTGCCTATACACTATATTTGTTAGAATACATTAGTTTCTTTTTGTTGTAGATGCCACAATGCAATGGTATATGAATAAAGGCTAACTCCGGGAGTAGTTTAAACCAAGACTCATCTGATGTGTTCTCCAAACTGTTCCTTTATGTTTTCTCTCAGAACTGTTCCTGAAATAAAAAGCTTTTTCTGTATTTATTTAAACAGTATGTCCAGCATGATATGGGAAAAAGGAATGAGGAACTTTGTCTTAAAGAATCTTTAAGCAGGGAAAAAGTGTGCCTTGTCATTGCTGCCCAGAATAGCACACAGAAACCACAAACAGATGTTATCAACCTAAGCCTGAACATATGCTATGTATAAGTTGTTGCCTTCAACTTGCTTCCAAGGTCACTTTCATACTGATATTTTCATAATATTGCACTCACAACACATACATTATTCTTGACTGAGGGCAAGGATGAGCCACGAAGCAGAAGCAGGCACTTAGTAAGATTAAAGCTATATGTTTAGCTTATCTTGTAAATGGTACTTACAAGAAGAATCCTGAGCCTAATAAAATTCTTGCTTAAATTGTTTTCCTAAAGGCTAGCTAAATTTAAATAAAGCTGATTACAAAGTAGGAAGGCAGATTGAATAAATAGTATTAAATGATCTCAAAACATAAGATTAACTTTGGTTACAAGATTTGGTAAGACAGGAGGCTTTCCCAGAAAAGTCATTCCCACGTTTTCATTGTCAAATTAGGAGAGTGAAAGAATGAATTCTCCCAGGCATAATTCTGATTTCTTTATAAGTAGGATCTCAGCATAGGAACCACCATCCCTGTTATGAAAAAGCATAACCAGACATGAGAATGGAGTATTACCCAGAGCTACACTGAATATTGGATAATACCATTTGGATTATACCCTCCAAAGAAATTCAAGTTTTTGGCATTTTTGTTTTGTTATACATTGTTATCTGTTGATCTTCCCACTTAACACTAATATTGGAAGCTTTTCTTATGGCATTAGTTACTTTT